ACTGTAAATTTTACAACCAAAATCGGAGAAAGCGTTGCTTTTGATGACAATGGAGATCCAGTTGCGAGATATGAATTAGTGAACTGGCAGCTTGTTAATGAGAGCACCATCCGGTTTGTGACTGTTGGACGCTATGACAGTTCGTTGGCAGCAGATCGCCAGTTCGTCATGGATGACGTTCACATCATTTGGGCTGGTGGTCAAGAGCAGGTAAGCTGTGAAAAGAATCAGTTGTGGACTTATGCTAGACATCAGAAGCCAATTGGAGTTTAATGTGACTCAGTGAGCACAAAAGAGAAAAAAAAACAAAGGAGCAATTTACGATAAGAAGGCTTGCATTGCTTTTTCATGATTTCACAAGATGGACAAAACCAAAATTTGTTAGCATAAAGAATAACTTCAAAAGTGACAGAAATGTTGCTAATATTGTTAAGAAAAAGGACTGCACGTACCCCCTGTAAAAAACACTGTTTTTGCTTATAAAAAGAAATAACCTAATTCCAATGATCTCCAATTTTGTTGAATTATATTTGCATTTTGTTCAAGAATTGAAACAACAGTTCTTGCTAAAAGTGATTTTGGGAGGTTGAATAGTTGAACAATCAATATATTTTAGTTAATGATTTTTGTTATTTGTGCAAAAGTTTCCAGTATTTCCATAATTTCCAGTATTTAGGCTTTTATTAAAATATTTACAGAATTAAACAATTTGCACATACAATTTGCAATTTAAATAAAGGGTAATGATTCGAAAGGTGTGCATACTTTTGCAAGGCATTTTAAGTGAAGAAATTGTTATAAGATATTTTTGTACCATGGGTCTACAAAATGTAACATTTTATATTAAAATTAATAAATCGGTTTTACAATGCTCATCTAAGATATCTCATGACTTAAGAGTTTACACTTTAGCAAATGTACTATTGCATTATCTGTAATTTGTCTTATAATTATATTCATAATGTTTTTGTACTGAAAAATGCTTTATTACATTTTTGTTATATCTAAATTTGAAATACAATGCTTAAATCCTTCATGTTTTGTGTTGAAACTGTTCTGCTCATTACTTTGCAGAAGCCCGAGTCAGTGTGCAGTGAGAGCTGTCTCCCAGGCACTCGAAAGGCAGTTCAGAGAGGAAGGCCTGTGTGTTGCTATGACTGCATACGATGTGCTGAAGGAGAGATCAGCAACACCACAGGTAAAAGGGAGATAATTCAGGACTGAATTATCAGCTTCTGTGTTCTTAGTTTCAATGACATGAAAAATAATAAAATGCCAATATATACACAACAGAATAAACAAATTTAAATATATCATTCATTACTTGAATACTGTATAGAGCTCTATACTCCCTGTAATAAGCTAACTGCTTTATTTAAAATAATTTGGAACAAAATTCAAAAGCAATAAATCAGTATAAAATAACCCAAACATCTTTTTGTTTTTTGCAGATTCTAATGAATGTATCCAGTGCCCTTTGAAATATTGGCCAAATAAGATAAGAACCAAATGTGTGCTTAAACCAATTGAATTCCTGTCCTTTGGAGAACTCATGGGAGTAGTGCTCAGTATATTTTCTTTGGTTGGGACTTGTTTAACCTTAGGCATCGCTTTGATCTTCTTTAAATTTAAACACACTCCTATTGTCAAAGCCAATAACTCTGAACTGAGTTTTCTTCTGCTCTTTTCATTGACTCTGTGTTTCCTCTGTTCTCTTACTTTCATTGGCCAGCCCTCTGACTGGTCCTGTATGTTGCGCCACACAGCATTTGGGATCACATTTGTTCTGTGCATCTCTTGTGTTCTGGGGAAAACAATAGTGGTGTTAATGGCCTTTAGGGCTACACAACCTGGCAGCAACATTATGAAATGGTTTGGGCCCAAACAGCAGCTGTTAAGTGTTCTTTCTTTTACACTTCTCCAGGCTTTAATATGCACCATATGGCTGACTCTTTCCCCTCCTTTTCCAAAGCAAAATATGAAATATTATAAAGACCGAATCATTCTTGTCACGA